CTGTTATCCCGTATACTCAGTCTTGTGCAGCAGGGCAAAACATTTCAATATGTTCTGCTAGAGAAAGTTTAAAACAAGACATGTGAAGCAACTGCCTGTTGTGAGAGGTGGAATGAGGGTGATCTATATACGTAAGAGATTGGGCAGTGGCCCAGAAGGCGCTCCAGCTCGGCTCTGACCCCTGGGGACGCTGCCCTTACTCAGCCAAGGGACCTCGGTCAGCCAGTGCCCTCCTGCTGCCTGCCCGTGGCCGCAGCTCGGCTGCTGTGTTTGTGTTCATTCAGCTAGCTAGAGTGAAAAACACACGTCTTTTCTCAGGGGATGTTAGGAAGATTCAGAGATGATCTATGTAAACTGCTTTAAGGTTCTTTTTTTTTTTTAACAAAAAAGGGAGGAAAATCAAGGGATTAATCATATTCATCCAACCCAAGATTTCTTTGAATTATTCTCCATGTAATCTGTATTTATGGAGAAAAGCAGCCATGCCTTGAGAGCAGAGACCTCCGAATTCATAACTGTCAGAATCACAAACCATGGGAAAGGAATTAACAGCAGTAATTCTACTTTTTTTTTCTTCTTCTAGCAAAGACCTACATAAACTTGAATTACCAAACGTTCTTTAGCTCTCTTGCTGCCTTGGTGATGTCGGTCACCAGCTTGGGGTTTTTTTCTGCAGGTTTTGCGTACCCTCGGAGGCAAGTGTGGCGATTTTCTCCGAAGCCGGTTCTGCAAAGATGTCCTGCCAAAGCTAGCTGGCTCCTTAGTCTCCCAGGCTCCTGTCAGTGCCAGAGCAGGGCCAGTTTACTCCCACACGCTGGCCTTCAAGTTGCAGCTGGCTGTCTTGCAGGGCCTGGGCCCCCTCTGCGAGAGACTGGACCTAGGTAGGTACCAGCCAGTGCCACCTGGACACACCCTGCGCTCTGTCTCACCCCCGCCGTTGCACTGTTGGCTCAGCCGGGCTTCCCTCACCTCCCTTCCTGTGCTCATCCCCCAGCCCTACTTTGGCCTCCTTGATCCACTTACCTTGATGTGTTTGGGGACTTGTGGGACGGTGGGAAGAGCCCACGACATCTTGCCTGGCTGTTCCAGTTCCACCAGACAGCAGTTGGTTCCTGCTTGTCCCAGATGAAGTCTGAGGGCCGTTGCTTGTTTGGTTTTCCCTCTCTGCAGGTGAGGGTGACCTGAATAAAGTGGCTGATGCCTGCTTGATTTACCTCAGCGCCAAACAGCCCGTGAAATTACAAGAGGCTGCCAGGAGGTACGTCGGCTTGATCAGCCGCAACTCTTTACGTTTGTCCTAAATTATAGATGATTTGCTAATGGCGAGCATCTCTGCTCTTTCCTCGTCTCTCTGTTCTTGCCAGGTTATGGTGGCTTCTTTTAACTGTCCCAGTGCTAGAGATGGTGTTTTTACGAAACGCTTTTCTCTTTGCAAGTAACCTTTACTTCTGCTGTCACAGCAGCAACAATTCCAAAGGGGCAAAAAGCAGAAAGATGGCGTGCTGGTGGGGACAATGCACTCTCCTGGTGGGAGGGCGATCTGCCTGCAGACCAGGTGACCCTGGCGCCGCTCTGGGCCTCAGCTGCCTCATCTACAAAGTGAGAGTATTGGGTTACTGATCTTGCGTACCTTGGTGCCAGAGAGCATCTTAATGGGTGTCAGATGCCTTGAACCCTCACTAATTATATGCAAAATCGGGTGTGTGCAAGCAGGCACATACGTGCCTCTATCTAGACAGAGTCCCTACCGTTCGTCCAATTATAATAGGAGCCTGTGAACCAAGAAATGTTCAGAACCACAGGGCTAATGGCGTAAAGGGCCTTTTCCGACTCTGAAATTATGTGACTCTTCTTTCCAAGAGTTTTTGCTTATTGGAGAAGAGCTGTACCCCCTTTCATGGAAGAAGCTATATATATCTGGTTCCTTGAGTCCTGAAGGAGTTTTCTCCAAAGTAAAACTCTGAGCACAGCAGCATTCCCCAGACTTGAGACCCAAAATGCACTCTGGGCCCCTCTCCCCAGCTCTCCTTCCATCTGGCAGCAGCCTGTGCCCCGGAACTGCCATCCCCTGGATGTTGGCCACCGGAGCAAACGCTGGCCTGGCTCCGTGTCCTGCTCTGGGCCCTGCAGCTCCACATCCCAGAGCAAAGGAACAGCCCCTCCCCCTGCTTCTGGAAACAGTCCCTGATCTTCCTGGGGGGTAGGAGTCATCTGGTTCCCTGAGGGGCCTACCCGCTGCTCTGACCGAGAAATCAAGAAAGGCAACTTGCTCCCTTATACAACTCATACTCCCTGGGAGTGATGGAAATACCTTTTGGAATTGATTTATTGTCCTTTGCAATGTTTTGCCCTTGATTTCCCCAGTCCCCTTTCTCTCTTCTCCGTCACACCCCCTAGGCCCAGAATCAGTCGTGGTTTCTCCAGGACAGGAGTACATCCCCACCAGCTTCTTATCCCCCGACATTCTTCTTCCTTAGAGAACCAACTTAGGGTGAAAATGGTCCTCCTCTGGGCAGTGTCCCTGAAGCTAATTGTGCTGTAACGCAAAGTACAACTCAAGCACATACCATGAACTCACCTTGAAGTACATTCTTTTGTGTGCCTGTTACAACCAAGAGTTACAAAGGTCCCATTTCCACAATCCCGTCCATTCTCCTTTTTCTGCACCCACCCCAGACTCGTCCTTCAAGTTGAGACCCATCAAACAAGCATCAAACAAGCTGATATTCGCAATTCCCTGTCTTTTCATGTCTTTTTTTTTTTTTTTTTGCCACTAAAGGCAGTTCTACCCGGAATTGGGCCTTGCTGCATCTTGAGCTGGTATCCAGGGTGCCCCGGAGGAGGGAAACCGCAGCCACCACTTGACTGCAGTGCCTTTGTTTGCTCCATCGCATTCCTTTCTCGGGGTTGAGTCAGATGACCTCGCTCCTGCCTGGCTGGGAGGGGAGGAAGTGCAAGGCTGATTGCTTCACAAACACATCATCTGCAAACTTAATTTGAAGTCAGGGGAGAAAAATCAGTGTTGTCCTTGATCCGGAGCTGATGTGGCATCCTGATTCAAAAATTAATAAGCTGTCTACATGGGCGGAGAAGCCTGAGACGGTGGGAAAGCCGACTCTTTGCGAGCCTCGTCACTGAGTGGCGAGAGGGGGCCAGGCGGGCCGCTGGGCCCTGGAACAGCGCTCCTGACAGGGGCTGGTGGAAAGGGCCCTTGAATGAGACGGGAAGTCCCCAGCTCAGCAAATGGCGGCACCATCCATCCAGCTGTTTGTCCTGAATTCTCTTTCCCTCACACCCCACATCCATTGCAGAAGTGAAGCCTGTCTCCCTCACTTACAAAATGTCTCTTCAAGCTGTNTTTCTCTGATTAGTGGACAGGTTGAACATCTTTCTGTGTGCCTCTTCCCTAACAATTTGTTTTTCTTATGCCCATTGTCTATTTATATGCTTTGACCATTTATTTATTGGTGGGAGGAGATTTCAATGTTTTTCTTATCAATTTATATGATAAAGGAGAAGGGCTTGCAGGCTAGCTCAAGCTCTTGCCTGTTGTTTTATTCACAAGCTCAATCTGGAGCTTCAGGTCACAAAAGGATTAATAAATTATTAGAATCTCCTCTGCAAATATAAAATGCCAAGTTATAATGAGCTTGGTGGTCTCAGAACTATCCTAAATCGAACTGAGTCCCAAATTAGTTTGTTAGGTTGGAATCGAACAGATTTCTTTTTTTTCCTTTCTTTTTTTTTGGCAATCTGTGCTCTGAGACTCCGATGAACTGAAGCCAACACTTCCAGGGTAACAGGAAATAGTAGCTCAATGCAAACTAACTTCATACAGCAAATTCCCTCTAAATAACAGGGAAACAGGGTCCAAGTAATGATTAATGCAAAAATAAGTCATTGCTCTCCCCCAAGGGCAGAGTTTTCTGATCAGAAATCTGTCAGGCTTTTTCTTCTCAGTTTTGTTACTTGAGCCAATCCAATCCTTCTTTTCGTGAGCTGGACCCCCTAGCCCAAATCTGGAAACCCTGAAAAAGGGGAGACATCTTGATCCCTCATAATCCGGATTTGACACTCTTGTCTGAAATTCTAGCATTGTCAGGGAATCCATTCTTTTCCTGATTAGCATCTTCGGGTTGTAGTTGATGTTCACTAGGAGCAGACTGAATGAATCAAACCTTTCTTCTTGTAACAAAAGTCCACATCCCTCAAATAACATTCCGCAGTAGGTGAATTCCAAACAGCAGACCCTCCTCTGGGAAGAAAAGCACAGCCTTATCATTCTTATAATTATCATCCATCAAGCACACGCCACACACTTGGCATTATAAAGAATGTTTGGCTCGATGTTGGTTTGACATGCGTTTTTTTGTTTTAACCACAATGAAAGAAAGCACCTTGTGTATCTGAGGCCCCTTTCTTCAAGAAATCCAAGCATTCTGCAAATGCATTTTCATTTATCTCTTCAGCATCTGTTAGAGACAGGTGTGGCCTCTACTGTAAGATCCTGTTTTTCCAGCAGAGGAGACTGAAATGGGAAGAAGTTAAGGGAACAGTGCACAGCTTAATGGAAATGAGCACAGCTGGTAGTGGGGGTGTGGGGGGAGGCTGGGGCTAAAAGTAGACAGAGGAAAAATTTTCAGCGTAGGGATTTTGGCCTGCGTTTCATAAAACTCTCAAGTCCTCTTGTTGTTTTAATTTACAAACTTAGACCTCTCTCATGCAACACAGCACACTGTAGGCAGCGAAAGAATGATAATAGCTGGTGACATTCATCTCATTTTACTCTCTCGACAAGCAACTAAGGTCTACAAGCTTTATCCCTTTTTTCAGACGAGGCAGTGTGGGGTGAGAGGAGTCGCTAATAGGTTGTGGAGGCAAGACCTGAACCCACCTCCTCCGATCAAACCCCATCCCCCTGTATTGTACCAAGCTGCCCTCATATTAACCTCTCATACAAAGATAAGTAATGCTTGACCTTGGCCATCAAAAGATCTTAAACACTGGTGGAGAACACAGACACATACCCCCTTTAGTCAAAGGATGAACGGACAGGAAAGCGAGTAAAGGGCCAAAGGCCAGCCAGGGAACTGTTCAGCCTCAGGGCTCCATATTAGAACCTTGCCCTCTTATGTTTTTATTTTAAATATTTATTAATGGAAATTTAGAAAAGACCAAAGGAATAGGAAAAAATAACCATCGATTATCTCATGACCTCATCTCTGTTAATACTCTGTTGTGCTTTCATCCTTTTTTATTTTTTTTTAAAGATTTTATTGGGGAATTGGGGGCGGGGAACAGCGTTGGGGAATCGGGGAAGGGGAACAGACAAGTTGTTGTCCTTTTGTTCTTCAGTCTAGTTGTGGAGGACGTCGCTTCACTTGCCCATTTGAGTATTATCATTGCGCTCTTCCAAGGTGAGGCAGATCGGTCGCTGAGCCCTGGATGGCCGCTCACGGCAGCCCACTGCAACTTCACTGCAGCCTACACCATCGCCGGCGACTCATAGCAGCCCAGCTCCAGGTCGAGCTGTTGTTCACCATCTTAGCTGTAGAGGGCACAGCATCACTGGCTCTAATGTGGGATCTGAACCGGGGCCCTGCTGCTCAGAGCTGGCGTCCCAAGCCAACTCCTAACCTGCGCACCACTTGGCTGGCCCTGTGCTTTCATCTTTATATAAAAGTGCATATAATAGTGTTTGCACTGTGTGTACAGTTTTGCATCCTGCTTTTCTTTTTTTAACACTGTTATTTCATAAGCATTTTCCCTTGTCGTTAAAACACTTGGTAAAAACAAATTTGAGGAGCCCTCATGGATATACCAAGGTTTATAAACCATTCCCCCTTGAGTGGACCTGGAGGGTTTTCCCCCAGTTTTTAGCTGTTATAGTTAATGCTTTGAATCTCTTGACTCATATCTTGACCCAAAGTTTACATGGTTTCATTAGGATCATTCCTAGACATTTTCCCTCTTCAGTCTTATTCCGGATCTGAGGTTGGGAGATCAAGAGGAAGTGGGGCATCGCTCATAAAATACTGTCCCCGGTTATGCTGTCTTTCCAGAGGAGCCGTCAGACCCTCCCACAGTGGACAAGAATGACACCGGTCCTGATGTGGAGCCACCACTGCCAGTGCAGATCCAAATAGCCACAGACGTGCTGGAGCGCTGCATCCACTTGTTGTCAGACAGAAGCCTGAAAATCCGCCTGAAGGTCGGTGTGCGGCCCTTTCCCTGCAGCCACACAGCAGCGGGACCGCG